GTTGGTGTTGATTCTAATTGAGTATATTCAATCTAAAATATTAAGAAAATAAGGTTTATTAACTTACTTACGAATAAATATTTCCTTAAACTCTTCCAACCCTCAATCTTCCAGCAATTTTTAAAACATATTTAAACCTCACCCACCATAAAAATACACACAATTCATGGAATACATTTATTATTATTATAATATCGACTATTATATGCACTCTTTCTAATCAGGTTGGACTAGTCTATGCAAGCAAGGCAAGGCAGATAACCTCAAAAGCACGTTGTGCGCGGCGATAGCGAAATAGAAGTAGCGAATAAAAGACCGAGTTTGTGGTCAAAAATCGGAAAAAGGGTTCGGATGTTTTCGGTCCACTAAATTTTAATAACCTGTTACTTAAACCTATTAAACACATTATTTAAATCTATTAATCCATATTTTTATTAAACAAACATCTTAATTTTAATGATTTTATTAATAGGTTCTAGTTACTTAAATTTCAGGTATTAGGTTGAATAATAATAATTAACAACATATTCCATTTCAAATGTTCAGTTTAATAAAAATAAAAAACATGTTTTAGGAATTATGTTTTATCTAGAATAGGAAAACGTTTTATTTGGTGTTATTAAAATTTGTTTTAAATTAATTAAAATTTTGTTAGGAACTCTGTTTAATAGGACGATTTTTCTCAGTGTAGTTATTTACGTGTCAAGCTTTGTAAATGAATCTTTACGGGTGAGCTGAAAGTAGTAAGCCTAGTAAAGATTAATTGCAAAGCGTGATACGTACAAACTTTTATTTTTACATTAAGATAACGATTTTCAGATTTAAAATTTCAATTAATGTGTCAAATGTGTCATTTCATTTCATAAATTGCTTTTCTACAAGCCTGTAAAACTTTACAGGTCTTTTATATACAAGCCCGTAAAATATTACAGGTCTGTTCCCAAAATGGATCGTTTACTTGGATACAAAATCAACAAAATTAACCTATAAAATGTCATTTACTAAGAAGGTGGAAATAAAAATATTAATAGGTATTAGAAAAGTAGAGTGGACAATGATTCCTTATTTTGGAGGTAAATTTAAATATTGTTAAAACGCATTTATATAGAGTTATTGGTAAACAATTATTATCTTATAAAGATTTAAATACAAAATTAATTCAGATAGAATGTTTATTAAATTCTAGACCACTTTGTTCATTAACTGAGGAACCGCAAATTTTTTAAACGCCCCTTCATTTTTTACCATTTCTGTCAAATTCTGATCTTTTAAAACTTACATTTCAAAGCCGGGGAGCATTTTTGTATCGAGGATCCAGGACACCGCAATCGGGTAACGTCGTATTAACCGAAGTCTGTCTTAAAACGAGAAAATTTCCAGAAACGCCTAAAAATTCAAAAAAATCCTTTAATGCGATATAGGTAACATTATTGTAATCTCGAATATCTCGGAAACGGTTTATTTTATCGAAGTTTGAGAGGTACAACTTTTTAATAGTAGCCGAACTCAGTAATCGAAAAATTGCATCAAATAATATAAAAACCTAACCTCAAAGTTTGTATAGGACAATAAGCTTAAGCAACCCCCGCTTCTACGACACTGTGTTCACTCAAACAATTGTAATTATGTATGAATATGTGTATTGGTATACTATAGTAAGTGACTTTTTGCAAAATATTACCTTTCCAAGTCTACCATAGTAGAAGTTATATTAAAAAAACTGATTTGATAAGTAAAGCTTTATCACCCTGTATCTTGGAAACATACGTAATTAGAAAAAATATTTATTTAGATTTTCTTCTTATTTTGACTTGCTTAATCTGTTCCTAAATTTATTTCACTAAATTTAGGAACACCTTGTATAAAACGTTTGGGCCGTCTCTTCCGGGGATGCAAGGTGTGCGGCAGTGTTGCCAACCCAAAATCTTTCTAGGAGGTAGATATGATTTTAAAAGTTGGTATTTTCCAACAAATCTTACTTTGAAAAGTGAGTAGATCTACCACCTATACTTTTGGAGTATTCTGAGACTCTAGTAAGTAAGTAAAAAATCTAGCACTCTGAATTAATTTTTTGATGAATAAAAAATATTTCAAGTATTTTCATAAAAAAATCAATGAAAAAGCAGAATTACAAATTGCCTATATTCAAAATAAGAATAGAAAAATGTAAAAAATTTATGAACAAATTATGATAATTATCAAATTATAAATATGCCCTTGGGTTGTTTACTCAAATTAATTAATTAAATATTTATAATCTGGAATTATTAAATTATGATATGGTAGACTATATCGTAATTTAATAGTATACAACCCAAGTGCTTATTTATAATTAAAGGGATTAGAAGCAAAAGTTCATCTTTTTGAAAATGGAAAAAGGGTAAAAATATAAGAAAAAAAGTATAGCTTTTTTATTATTCTATTCTTTAAAAGACTACATATTTTGATTAAATAATTTATAATGTTCTTTAGTAGGTGTAGGTTGCTCAGCACTTTTGTTGATAAATGCTATGGAATCTAAACTATATATAGTTTAGATCTATAGATAATAGAAGGCGTTACAGTAACGCATAGCTATAAAATTCGGTAAATGTTCAAAGAAGGAAAAGTATAAAAAAACACAACGCATTATTACCACTTTCACGGAAAGTAAATTTAAAAAATTTAAAAATTAAAAAGTTGGTAGATTTTTCTTGCAAAGTAGTAGATTTAAGCAAGAAACTAAAAGTTGGTAGAGTTGACAACCCTGGTGTGCGGTGTTACGAGCGGCCCTTTGCTAGGGGCGGCAAATGCCAAACAAAATAAATAAAAATTTCAAAAAATATTGTATTTTTATTTAATCTTTTTTTAATTAACCTAAACTTATACGAGTTAATGTTTAACTTAAATATATTTAAGTTGGTCGAGTTTAACCATTGTTTTTAGAGACCTATAAAAACCCATAGATATTTTTTCAATACTAGGACTTTCGGGACAAAGTTAACTAATCCTGGGATTTTGGGATTAGTTATAATTAAAAATAAATTTTAAAGAACAAATATACAACATCTTTCAGACTTCACACTAGTTGGAGGAATGGTTTTCAAGAATTCGTAGACAGGTACCGATTGTACCCACGCTTACCCCCATTAACAAATAACTTTCTTTCATCAATCGGGCCTTGGTAAGTTCCAATTAAGGTTGTAAAACTTTAGTAGATTTCTTCCTCTGCTCCGCGATGGAAACCTTCTCGTCACCGCTATTTTCTATTTGACTTAAAAGTTTTTGCAATTGATGTTCAATTTTTGCGGCCCGCTTTTTCATTTTGTCTATAAAATCCATCGTAGGCCAGCGGTGAAACAATTAAGACTTAAGACTTTTGGGACCATATTTTTAAGGTATGGGGTAGTTAAGAAAACACTGTCTAGTTTTTGTGGTGTTACAACTAACAAAATTATGTGTAAAAGAAACGATTAATCGTTTCTTATTATAATAATAATTATTTATAAACATTATATTATGGGTTATTAATATTTATTTAATAAAATAAATAACAATTATTGCCATTAAAAAGTATTTTTTTTTCTTTGAACGGAAATTTTTATGCCGGGATTTTCGGAATCCGTTGTTTACGGGATCGTGGGATTTATACTCCTAAATGTGGTTTAACCCAGCAAACGCCAACTTGCACCGGTCAGGCACGAACAAAAACTCAATTGGGACGAAAAACAACAATTTAAAGTAAAAATTTAATTTAAACGATATAATTTAAAACGGAATATGTTGGTAAAAAACTAAAATTATTAAATTAAAATTAAACAAATAAAACCAGGATCAAAGATCTACAGTAAAACATTAAATGGGTAAATGTGTCAATTATTTATAAAACATTTTAAAATAAAACTGTTTCTAAGAATTAAATGAAACTAAACGTGCTGCTCTTTTGAAGTATTTACAACAAATGATACGATGAGTACTTATTTTCACGATACACACATGTGTAATAGACATTGTGCTTGGTTATTTAGTTACACAAAAAAAACCTTGCAAGTAATCTGGAAAATGACAAAATAAAGTTTTTAAAAATTATAGACCGATTGAAGAAAAAAAAGTGTTTTTTAATTTTGTATTTTTGTGAATTTGTGGGCACAAGATTATTTTAAAAGTTTTACTCAGACAGTGGCGGCTGGTGGATTTTGTGTATGCCAATATCTCAATTATTAGATATGGGACCCATACCAAATTTATATGACTTTATGATGACATTAAATAAACAAGTTTTGCAAAAGCAGAATTTAAATTAAAGTTTGCAAAAAAAATATAACTTTTTGCTTGGCCGTACCGGCCCACTGGCGCCCCCAATATATATAATATAAATTTAATTGGTGCAATTTATTATTTACCATACTTCATCGACAAATTTCAAATTCCATTTAAAAAAATCCAAATTATACAAATTTTATACCATTTTAAATTTTTATTATTTCTTTGAATATATGAATATGTATATAAATATATATGTTTGTTCTGTGAATATCATTTACTTTTAAAATATTTTATTTGCATGGTTATAATTTTATTTAGGAATTTTAAATAATTTAAACGATTTTTTATCTGATGTGTTAAACTATTTTATTTGAAGAAAGTAATTATGTTAAATTAAATAAAATTAGTTTTAAAGTAACTCGGAAGGAATTCCGATTTAAAAGGAGTCAACTGTAATATAAATTAATATTTTATGAGTTCAAATGTAATAATTGATTTGAATTTAATTTAATGTATTACTTACTAAATTACAAATATAAAAATGCAATTCTTGAAAAGGTATACAATTGTTTAAATATTTTATGACAAAATTAAAATGTATTGTGTTTACTTACGCAGGTAAAATTTATTACTTTACCCAGACCATTCATTCCAGATTAGTACTTACGTTTTTACAGAAAATAGATAGTAGAAGAATGTAAACAGGTAAATGAGTAATGAAAAACAAATGTTAAAATTGTAAATACTTAATTTATTATAAAATTCCATACAAAATTTAAAAGGCACTTTCCGTTTGATATATCTATAATATACAATATAATAATATAATAGTCTGAACACATCCGCGTCTTATACATAATGACAATATCATAATAATAAAAAATAATTACACTCGATTGTTTGGAATTGTACGTATGGAACTTAATCTAGACTAATATCTAAAAATCACATATGCATTTAATGATGAAACCTAATTACAAAACTAAGTGATACAATACAAATAGGGCACAGAAATAGGTATAGCAGATCTATCACAGAGAGTTCACACTCGCCTAAAACAAATTTATTTAATATTTTGTACAACATTAGGCCAACCTAAAAAAGGCCTAATTTTTAACGAGAGGAACTCTTAAAGTCCTGTGTGATAGCCAATCAAATTTGGTTACGCTATTTTTGGCAGTGAGTCTTCAAACTTTATTTGTTACGATTCTAAAGCGAAAAATTTTGTCAGGCTTATAGGGAATGACCTATTTGAGCTATACAACTTTATACGAAGTGATACAATTTAAGTTTATTATGTAAAATATTTAAGCAATAACAAATGTGTTTACATTTATAACAACCTGTTGCTAATACAAATGTATGCATATTATGCAGTATATTATAGTTTGTTTGACAGTATATTTTTATCGCTTCGTATAGAAAAAGTATATTGCGTGATATGTCACAGCCGAACCCATGGAGGGATACAAGGGCCGAATTGTCACACGATATAATAATACTACAGTCTTTTCTGTCATCACAGAACTTTATGGAAAACAGTAATTGCTCCTTTAGAGCGAAGGATTTTGGAATGATGATACTCCAATCATGACTTGCACGCGGTTGGTTTATTGTGTTTGCACTAAAGCGAAGCTGCTCGCGCAGCCAATGTGCTCTAAACTTCCTTCCAAGTCTTTAAATTGTTCATAAAGGCACGCTAATTAAAATAATTTATTGTCGACGAACGAATAATAAATTAAATGCATAAATAAATGTTAGACTTGCTCTTTTCCTTCAATCTTTTTAGACAAATCCGAAATAATTTCTTTAAAGATAAGGGGATCGATATTTTTACCCAACTGGTACAACACAAACCAGTCTCCTATCTCACACTTATTGGCGATGGTTTCTATTTGATCCTGGGCTGCTATGCGACACCTGGCTCTAAGCAGGTAAAGACGAAGTTTGGGCCCAAAAATAACACAAACACGGTAAATGATTGAAATGCAGGACAATACACTAAGAATTATGAACCAAAACCATAGGAACACGTATATCTTCTCGTTGACAATGTTGACTGGCAATACACAAAGGCCGTCGAACTTCTGAACCGAACCGGAAGGACCATATTTATGGAATGTACATTTTGTTACTTTGGGAAACACCCTAGCCATTGGGTCTTCACGTTCTTCTGGCTCCATTTCAGTAAATTTAAGCACGTCGCTACCATATGTGCTGAATTCCCCATCCAAGAAAAAGTCCATAAAAAATATTTGCCCTATGACATTGACCAAATTAAGAATTTCACAAATGAAAAATCGGAATGCGTAAAAATTTTGCAAATGTAAATTTGATGCAAAATATTCTATAAGCAGCTTCTTTCGGTCTTGTTTGCAGTCTTCGTTTACGATAGGGCTGTTTAGGTCGAGCACAAGCATTTTGATACGACCACCTTCCCACGTTTTCCATAAATAACGGGGAACGTAAAAAAGCATTGCTTGGAAAAAGAGGGCAAAACACACCCACTGATAATACTTGTGATACTTAACTTCATCTTGGCCATCGACATGACCTGTAACTCCAGGCTGTACCATGTCTTTTCCTACTCTTCCAATCAATCTATTTGGAATGGTAAATGTTGAATAAATCCAACAATAGGTGTCCATTATATTCAGCGGAATATCGTCTACTATGCAGTCAATAGGGTCCCCGATGTATTGTCTGCTAGTTACCAGTAGAGAGAAGGCTATCAATATTATAACGGTGGCTTTGTAATGCAATCGAAACACATTGTTGTCGATGCATACTGCATCGATTTTTAGCAGCCCCTTAACGGAGCCAAATACATCAAACATCTTGTCTTAGGCTTTGTTACTGTTTTTATCACCTGCACAATGATACCACGCACTAATTAAACAACTACTTTTTTCTATGGCAATTTTCATATAGTTAATATAGCGTGTGCTCGGAGCGAAGCACAGACTGAACTGACTATGCTCAGGGGGCTAAGCGGGCTGGAGGGGATTCATGTTGCTCGACCTATTGGCGTTCTCCCTTCTCTTCCCACCCTTTTACACGGAAAGTAGTTTTGAAGCACACACACTACAACACTCAGCTTGCATACTGCATTAACATATAAATGCAACCAGAGGTAGATTTTTTCTAAATTCGGTCTATTGTTCATTATCTAAAATTTAGTATTAATATTTCCAAGGTAATAACAATTTTACCTTACCTCTCTGTACCGTTTGTTTAGTTATTACTTTAAAATGTATTATTTTATACAGACCAAATGCAAAACATTAAAAACTACATTTAGGTTACAAAAAATAATAGCAACATTTTTTTATCAAGAAAATTCATATGAAATAGGGCTTACATAATTAAACCTAAATCTGCTACTGTAACAACTAGATAATAAAATTATTTTATATTGTATTACATTATAATTATAATGTAGGTTAACCTACATCTTATTTATGCATTCAATGTTTGTCAGCTGTATCAAGAGCATGCATGAAAACTTAATATGTAGTTAATATAAAAAAATGTACCTACACCACTTTTTTAATCATAGTCTTGTTAAGATTTTAAAGTATTGGATTATCATATTTTAAGTATAAGTTATTGCCATTTTCTTTTCTTACGAACACAAGGTGACTCTGTGAAACAGGCGATGGTACGTTCTTCGGGAACTTCATGTGATTCACATAAAAAATATTAAAACTAATGTTTGCAACATTCTTTAATTTATGAAGGTCCAAAAACTCAGTGTAAGCTCCTTCACTCAACGATGTAAGCTTCTTTTTTTAAAGGGACTTTTATATATTTTTTGTTTATCATATAGTTATTGTTGACAATATTACATTTTTAATATTTTTTTGTGAATCACTTGAAGTTTCCGAAGAACGTACCATCACCTGTTTTACACAGTTTTGGGACCCCCTGTATAGAAACATGAATTTTTCATTATTTTTGTATACCCTGTATATTACAATTTGTTTGTCTCTTTACTGCTTTTCGCATCTTGCTTCGTTTTCGAGTTAAACAAATTTCTCTTCACACTTCCGAAGCAAATTCTTGGAAAATGCCTTAAAATAAATATTTGGCTTTCCAAATCGTTCAAATGTATTGTTTTAATCCATAAATGTAATCATTTAATTAAATCTTTAAACAATTACGTCGACAATTACTTAGATAAAAAAACAATAATTGTTTTTATATGTTAGTTTAGGTGATTAGTTATAGATTAATTAATCAAAAGATTAATAATTTAAAACCTTTGGGGTTAATTAAATTTGCATACTTAAATATTACCTTATTGTCCACAGACATTACCTTGGCTATTTTATTTTATAAGTATATATAGTGGCTATGTTTCTTATTTTGTGTATAACAATAATAAATAAAATATAAATTTTGACTTTATTTTTAAGTTAGGTACAAATTGAACCGTACAATGTACAGTTAAGTAAAATAGTAATGTCCATTTGAATGCTCAATTGTAACTGTTCGGAAGCATTCGCAAATAGTCAACATCTACCTCTTAGGGATTTATTTAAAAATATGTCTATATTTAGAAATTACTATCTGCTCGTATTGAATTAATTATTTTTAGTGTATTACATATTTTACATTTTTATTAAATCGTTCATTTTTTGAAATATTTTTTATAGTTTTATAAAATTTATACATTTATTCTATAAAAAGCTTTTAAAAATAACTTTTTAGTCTAAAAGTAATATTATTAAGTTGTCGTTTTTTAAAACTAACTTTACATTTTTGAGAACTAGCAATGATTCATCATAGGAATAAAACACATTTTATTACCTACTTGTTTCACGTTTATGTATTAAAATTAAAAAAATATATTTAGAATTTTTATATTTGGTATATGTATTTTTAAATTAAATATACTAGGATTTATCAAAAAACGTTTGATATAATTATAATAAAAAAAGTTAACATACCCATAGGTTATAGGTTATCTATATATAAAACATACATATGTAGGTATGTATAAGACTATAAAATATATATTATATATTTTCTCATAATTATATATATATAAATTAATTTAGAATTTTTATATTTAGTATATGTTTAAATTAAATATACTAGGATTTATCAAAACCATTTGATATAATTATAATAAATGAACTAACATATCTATGAAACTATCTAAAAAAGATGGTCCTGTTAAAATGTAAGCTCTTAATATTAAATTTACAGATCCCCAATTTTTAGAGTACTTTAAAGTACTTTGAAATTGTATAAGTTGTCAACGGATTAGTGGACCGATAAAACTGAACAAAATTTTTGTAGGGAATTGAAGGCTTTACAAAAAAGGTATCCCATCATTTTATGATAAATTACCTCTTTTAAAAGGTAGGTTTTCAAGGTAAAAGTTGAATTTAAGTATATAAATTTTCCAGATTTTCCTACTTTTTTCAACGAAACAAAAATTTACCATAAATTTAGTTTTGCTGAAAAATTAGGAAAAAATTATAATTGAAGAATGATATTCCCGAAGGGTTTGGACCCAATTTGGTCAAATATTTAATTATTATTTAAAAATGGTGCTATGCAAAACGACTTTCAACTCCATATTATTTTTGTAGGTATTTTATCTACTATTTTCATTGATTAGGCTCACAATTTTATTTTTGGCACTTAGACCCTTTGAGAATTTTTATATATTGAAATAAGTTGGTATTGGCAGTTATTTCATAAAACAAAATTTGTTATTTAATAATGAAAACTAAAATGTTGTTAAACGTATTTAACGTGAATTTATTTTTATAAGCGCAAAACGCAGTTTAGTTTAAGATTTTAATGGCTTTAATTTACATAGTAAGATTAAATATTTTAATTCAAATTGCCCAGGTAACAAAAAATCATATACAAAGGTAAATAGAGAAGAATTATGCAAAAGTTTATAATTATTTTAGTATTAAATGTCTATATATTTCATTTAAATACATTATTCTATTAATAACAACTAAATAAAAAACATATAGTTTATTAAATAAATTATAGAACATATATTATATTTAAATTATTTCAAAATCAATTGTATTCCTTAAATATTTAAATGGTTTGGATTATTGCATAAAAGCTTAAAAGTCAAATGAAATGTGCGCTGAAAGAATGATAAATAGCAGGTAGGTAGAATTATTGAGTTTAAAAATAAATATGTTAATTTTATTACCAAAACCCGAATGTCTCCGAACAATTGCAATTGACCATTCAAATGGACATTACTATTTTGCGTAACTGTACCTATAACATGAATCCTCTAGTATCAAAACCCCTTAAATCCGTTTTGATAAAAATGAGATACATGCATTAAAATATTCCTACCTATCAATGTGTGCATAGAAATGGTTGCAAAAGCCATCAAATATTAAAAAAAAATGATTATATACATTTCCGGGCTTTTTCAACCATTTAAATGCACAAATTGATAGGTAGTATTTTTTTAATACATGGTTCTCATTTTTCATCAACACGGATTTAAGGGGTTTTGATAATAGGGGATTCACATATCGTCTGCCTTATCACGAAGTGGCCTAAACCACAAAACGAGATTGTTCGCGAATTAACTTCCGATGGACTATAGAATATATTCTATTACATCATGAAGTGGCCTATTTGTAACTTTCATAGTACAGACAACACAGCAGACTAAACATTATTATTAAGTCGATATAAATAACGCTAATTTTTGTTTTTTTTGCGAATTAACTTAACTCTTGTAAAATTTACAAAATGTGATTAATAAGGCCGATATTTTTATTTTTTATTTTTTGTTTTAAAAGTATTGAATAAAAAGTTGCTATCACCATTAAATTTTGAATGTTTTATGACAGAACATTGTTTCAAAGTTTAATAAGTAAAAATATTTCTATGTACATAACCTATTGCATTAATAACATTTAAATTAATTTAAATATTTATTTATTTATTAGAGTACTTTAAAACTAAGGATGTTGTTGAAATGATTTTGATAAGAAAAAACATTGATATAAATTTCATAACTCGGTCACCAATTTAAACAAAGGTTACATTAATTTAGATTATAAATAAATATATCTCTATTGCGTTTTTAAAATATTGACTAGCATTTTATATATTTATATAATATATATATATATATATATATATATATATATATATATATAGAGAGGTTTTTAGAGGCCTAAAAACAATGGTACTTAATATTATAGTGTTAGAACATACACCAAAAATCATTAAAATCAATTAGCACGTTTTAACTAAATTTGGATTAAATCGACCTATTTAATATTTACCTATCTACATGAAAAAAACTTACATTAAAGTCGATTAGTATAGTTTTTATAGGTATTATTATTATTAATACTATTATTTACAGCGTTTTATAATTCGGATATTCTTAATCAGTGTGTCCAGATTACACACGAGTTGAAGTACTGTTTTGATGTATTTATGGTACAATATTTTTTGCCATATTTTTTAAACAATAATCATGGCAGTTATAAATAAATTCATAAAAATGTGCATCGTTTACTGTGGGAAAAATTTAAGCCTATACTATTCTGTAACAACGGCATATTCCGCTCGAGTGAAAAGTTTTACGAGAGCGGAATATGCATTTTGTAACGTGTTTTAGACTAAAATTTTTTATTTTTTCAAAAAAATACCATAGAAAAATTTGTTAGATATTAAACACAGAGATATCGCTACCAGTGTTTATTCCGTCATCTGATAATAAGAATAATTTATTCTGTAATACTGCCGTACTTGGGCAAAACCTAGTAACTATGATTTTGTAACTTTTCAGGATAGCGTATTTTCTAAAATTTCATAGCCTTTCTTTGCAACAAAATATTTAAAAAATCCAATGATCAATTCCTACATAATTTTTAACGAGGAATTTGAAAAAATTATAAAAAAATTAGTATAATAAGTATTTTATTAATTTATTTATATAAGTAATTATGCAA